TAGTATTAACCTTGCTCAGAAGACAACCCCCACTACTGTCAACTATGCTAATACTCCTAACCAAGCTCCTCCTATCCAACAACCTCCTACTTGTCATTACTGTGGACATACCAGACATTTTATTGCCAAGTGCAATGCATGAAGACAGGATCAACAGTCTTGAAGACCCAGACAATCAGAACAAACTTCTAGAAGTTCTTATCAAAACTATTCTTGTCGAAATTATTATAATCAATCTTGCTCTCGAAGTAGAGATAATTACAGAAACAGAAGTCGGTCACAAGACAGAAACCATTATAGATTCGACCAAGCCTCTTCTCGAGAACATAGTAGAGAAAGATTTTACAGACCTTCTAACCAATCACCCTCACCCTATTATCGCAATGTAAACTATGCAGACCAGAACTCCAACTCCAACTCTATTAGTCAGAAGAAATAGGAAACCTTACTCGATAACCCTTCTATCCGAAGTGCTCTTTCTGTCCATCTTAGTCATGAAGCCAAGACCATCCTCTCTACCACTTCAGATCCAACTACTACACCTGTAAAATGTAATATTAGACTCAGTAATAGACCCTATCAGGCAATCATAAATAGTGATGCTTCTATTAGTATGATCACTCATAAAGTAGTTTAAGAACTTGGACTAGAAATTAAACAAGCTTCTACCAGCCTTATCATTTCTGCTACAGGTACTTCCTCCAGACCTCTTGGGATTATTAGAGACCTCTCTGTGCAAATAAAAGAAATCACAGTGCCTATCACTGTTGAAGTTGTCACTACTACTTCATATTTCTTACTTCTTGGAAATGATTGGTCCAAGAAAGTTGAAGCTAGCTACAATTGGAAAAATGAATGCTATTTTTTTAAATAGAAAAATAGAAAATATCATACTCCCACTACTTATGAAACAGACCAACCCTTACCTGCTCAACCTACTGTTACCAAACCTGAAGAACTAGACCTCTATAAACAAGAATTTTTAACATCCAAAGAAGCCTATGCTTTTAAGACTTAAGACACTAACCCTAATAATGACTGGATAGTTATTCAGCCTAGACATCAAACTATAGCCAACTTCCAAACTAACCATGCTCCACCTGCTGCTCGAATATGTGGAAACTGTAGTTTACCTTATCATCTCTTTGCATATTGCCCTACTAACCGCTGCAATAGATGTCAACAAACTGAACATATTGCTGTACACTGCACCAAGCAAGCCTCTAAGAGAACTACCTGTCATACCTGTAATCAGAATCATCTCTATAGACAATGCCCTCAGAACCTATGCCATGGATGTGAGAATTGGGTCACATTGAAATAGACTGTTCAATGGCTCCCTTAAAACGACAAAACCAGACCTACCAATGTGGATATGATGAAACAGAAGTTGAATCCCATCGAGCCTACTATCATAGTAACAGATGTACACATCACTGCTGCAACTGCAAGAACCCTAAAAGACCTAATGACCTATATATTATTGACAGACAACTAGTTTGCTTGGATGTTACATGAATTACCATTACGACCTTGATCATAATGACCCTAGAAGTATTAATTTCTATAACCAAGGTCTAGGACATGGAATGCTAGTTACTTGTAAAGTTTGCTAACACCAAGATGCAAGATCCAGAATGCATAATATAGAAAGTATCACAGAAGAACTTTGGTTCTGTAGTCTTGAACAT